TATTATAACTTTGTTCACATAACGGTTGTTTGTAACAGGCAAAACGAAACGAGATAGATATAGACTAATGTATACATAAATGATCAGAATGAAAAGAGAAATCGATTAAGCGGTGACTGTCTGTCCGTCCGCCCGTCTGTGCATACGATAACTCGAGTAAAAATTGAGATATCTTGACGAAACTTTGTACGTGTACTTCTTTCGGGCGTAGGACGGATGGTATTGAAAATGGGCAAAATCGCACAATAACCACGCCTACCTCCCATATAATGGTCATTTTTAGAAACACGAGAACTGCGATATTTTAGTAACTACTGAAGGTTATTTACTCAAAATTGATATTTGCAATAATTTTTAGGCGAAAAATAAGAATATTATAAATTTTTGGAAAATGGGCGTAGCCACGCCCACTTATGGTTACATGTGTATATCTTAGTAACCCCTGTACCAATTTCTTCCAAACTTGGCACAATTGTTAGCCTTCCTACAGCATACTAAATGACCGAAAATGTTTAAAATCGGACAATAACCACGCCCACATCCCATATAACGGTAATTTGGAGAAATACGAAATCTTCGATAAATCAGTAAATATTAAAGCTAATTTATTCAAAATTGATGCTTGAAACAACTCTTTATCAAGAAATACGTTTGTGATACAATTTTGGAAAATGGGCGTGGCTCCGCCCACTTATGATCACATATATGTATCTCGGTAACCGTTCTACCAATTTGTACCAAACTCGGTACGGTTATTGTGCTTGCCACATAAAAGCAAACTGTTGAAAATTATTGAAATCGGACTAAAATTGAGGCCGCTTTTCATATAACGGTAAATTTCAGAAATGGTTGAAACTGCAATATTTCGAAATTTAAGGACGCTAATTTACTCAAATTGATACACCAGCGGTAGCTTTCGGAAGGGTGAAAATCATATATTTAATACTTGCGCCGGGTATTTAATGTTCGGCTCCGCCCGAACTTAGACTTTCTTACTTGTTTGTTTATGGACTTTACCAAAAATTGCCAGATGCCCGAATTTTGTATACTAATTTTACAGTACTATTGTTGCAAACAGTATTTCCAGTATTAAATGTGAGATGGTAGAATTTAAAATTTATCGCAAAAATTCGATAGTTGTTTTAGAAGTGTAGCCCGTGGTGCTGCCACTGTAATTCAAATATTTCCAGTATTCGAATATAAGATAACTCTAACTTTTTCGAAGTAATTTTGTAGAAGTGTCAGTAGTGCTGCCATTGAAAATCGAGGGCTTTTATAAATACACACATGCAAAACATAATTAATTTTTTTCTAGTAATGCAAATAGATGTTTGGTTGCAAAAGTTACCAAAATGAAATAAAAGTTACTAAGTTACCAAACCGCTTAAAAGTTACCAATTTTGGTAGAAAGTTACCAATTGTGGCAACCATGGTCCCAAACTAATCTGGTTTAGATCCGATCATTGGATCACGAAATATTTATGTATACATTTTATTTTTATTATTATGGGAATTGAAGTCAGTTTGGTTTTTTGCTTAAAAATTACTTGTAGGCTCCTAAATATTTCTTGCTATATAAAAAAGTGTTTCATGTGATGTATGTACATAAATGTGATATATGTAGTACATATATTTTTACACATACATACATATGTATGTTTGTACATATGTACATGTGTATATAATGTTGCATAACAAGCCAATTACTTCAATTATTTGTTTTCTTTTGTTTTGCTAATTCCGTTAAATTAACTTATTTTATGAATTAATACATTTATTTATAATTTTTTATGGGGAAATTGGTGGAGCGGTTGCCCACGATGCTACGCCCATTTTCCAAAAGTTTATAATATTATTAAATTTTCATCTAAAAATGATTGTAAATATCAATTTTGAGTGAATAAGCTTCAGTAGTTACTAAAATATCGGAGTTTTCGTATTTCTGAAAACTACCTTTATATGGGAGGTAGGCGTGGTTATTGTCTGATTTTTTCCATTTTCAATACCATCCGTCCTATGCTGAAAAGAAGTACATATACCAATATATATATATATATATATCGTTAAGATATCTCAATTTTTACTCGAGTTATCGTGTGCACAGACGGACAGACGGACGGACAGACAGTCACCGATTAAGATTTCCTTTTTCATGTTGATCACTTTTGTATGCATTTGTCTATATCTATCTCGATTCGTTTTGCCTGTTACAAATAACCGGAATGTGAACAAAGTTATAATACCCTTGTGCACAAGTACGCTCGGGTATAATTAAATGATTAACGCCCAACAGTGGCATCTACATATGTACATATGTATATTAGACTGAACCAAAAAAAGTCGCCGTACACTGCTTAGCCTTCAAGTATTTTTGCAACGTAATTAGAATTTGTTTTTGCCGAATGAACATTTTGCTAACAGTTTTCGTCAGGCTTCGGCATTTGCAGTCGAATCATAACGTATGATATTTACATACATCGTATATTTCCACAAAATCCGTTCCCTGCTTATTACATTAAACGAGCAATTCTTGTGTATATATATATATATATATACGTATATGATATTTACATCGATTTACGATTTAAATATCATACGCTAAGATTAGACTACAAATGCCGAAGCCTGACGAAAACTGTTAACAAAATGTTCGTTCGGCAAAAACAAATTCTAATTACGTTGCAAAAATACTCGAAAACGGCTCTAATGATTTTGGTAAAATTTTGTACACCGATAATGTTTCGGATTTTAAGGATATCTGAAAAGGCATTATCTCCGAGAAGAGTCGTATAAGGTTGCCACCTATTCGAAATAAGTTACAAATTAGTTAAATATCATAATATGGGTATCAAATGGAAGGTATTTTAAAGATCCCTAATTCAAAAATATTTTTAATAGGGTTGACATCTATTTCGAATCGCATATTTATAAAAATTTTTTGTTTAGAAGAAAAGGTAAAATATTACTATTTATGGGTACCAAGAGAACCCTACAAGAACAGTGATAGTCATTTGACTATCACTTTTTAAGAGCAATATGCAAAACGTGATGTAAACATTTGTGTACACGTGATCTTCCGTCTTCCTCTGACTTGTGGCCTTATTTAGTGGTCTCTTTTTAACCAACGCAAAATTTGCAAATGTGTTAGTAAGATAAATGAGAATGTGTTAGTTTCCATCACACAATTCTTGTAGGGAAGGTTCTTAAACAATGCTTTCCCTATAAACAAAATGTTATCTCTTAGAATAATAGTGTAAGGTTGCCAATTATTTTCGATTCTACACTATTTATAACACATCATAACATATAATATATAATATAACGTATTTATAAAACATCGCAATATCGATATTGTTAAAAACTTTGGTCAGAAAATATTTTCCATCAGGGTTGCCACGTTTCTATGTAATAAAAATTTTTATTTTGTTAATTTCAATCAATATTTTTTTATGTATACACAGTACGTATACGCTCAGGCTATCAACCATTAATTCCAGCGTATTTCGGAATAGGGTTGCCACGTAAAGTTTAGAGTAAGGAATTTATTTAATAGATATCGAAATCCTATTTTTTTGGTTTCCAAAATATTTTTTTATAGCTATCCAAATCTTGTAAAGTTTAAAAAGTATATGCACTCCGGGCAAAGCTCGGTCAACCTGGTACTATTATTTAGTATTACAAATGAATTTCAATATACTCTTTAAGCAAATGCTTTAAAAATAAATGATTTTTATGAATTAAAGTAGCAACTTCAAAAGAAATCCCCCAATATGACTTCTGAAGTACGTCCTACAAAAGTCCCTCTGGAAGGCCTTCTATGGGTAGCGAAAGTAGAAGCCCATCATTTGTGTCACCCCATACAAAAAATAAAGGAGAAAGGAATGTAGAGTGGAACGCCTCTTGACTCTTAGGAAGGCTTTTCGGAAGGGCTTTTAACTCCTGACTAACTTAAATATTGCCACTGATGTAACTTATATCTAGCAATCAATATGACAGCTGGACAGCAATAAATTTAATCCTGTGGAGACGGCCAGTTAAACATCAAAGGAGCAATGTGCACATGTCCGACGTCAGCGTTGGAGCTGTATAATTATACAAGCATTCTTAAGCGATATAAATCACTGCTGCTAATGGGCCAAAATGACTCCATCCCATCTATTTTTTAAGAGCGAACCGTCTTAAGAAAACCCGCAGAATTTTGCCTCAAGCTCTTTTCAACTCTCAGGAAACTTCAGCGTTACGGGGAGTATAGATCACAACATGGAGATCTGCAAGGTGGCGGTGCATACCTTATTTTAAAATCTCTCCAGATTATCTCACTTCCCAGTAGATAATTTCGGGAGTTAAAAGCTCTCCCTTTCTTTTTTGTATGGAGTGGCACAAATTGAAGGGCTTCTTCTTTCGCTACCCATAAAATGCGTTCCAAAAGGGCTTTTATAGGACGTACTTTAGAAGGCCTTTTGGAGGAGTTGTTTTAAAGTTGCTTCCTTAATTTATAAAAATCATACATCTTTGAAGTATTTGCTTAAAGTTTAAATCAAATATGAGTTATTGCAACTTAAAATGTTTTTTGAAATTCATTTGTAATGCTAAATAATATAAATTTATGCATTCGCGTAAATTGTAAATGAATAAGCCTTTCTAGAAGGCATGCAAGGAAGCACTTGTTCAGCCATTCTTGGATGGGCATCTTAGAATGGCTTCACTTAAGAAGGCCTACCTAAATTATATTCTGGGTTATTACCACGACGTCCAAAGCATTGGTTAATGAGATGAAAGCTTCATAAAATCAACGACGCATCATAGCGGTTTAGCTAGCTTAAATAATTAAGACAAGAAAAATTAACCTTTTTGGTATTTTTCGTCTTGTCTAATATTTATGACTCACTCTGTATACATACATAAGTACATATGACGTACTAAATGCTCATATTTTGTGTACAATACCGTCTGCTGTCTTATCTGCAAAACTGACTGATTGACTTTGCATATATACTCACCTTCAACTCAGTACGATCAAGTGACATCAGACCCAAATTGAGACCCGAAAATAGTGAAGAGAAGCCCAAACAAACAAGGATGATGACAATTGATAGCCAGATTGGCAGCAAATTTTCATATGTTCGCATTTGGAGATAAATATCTCCGCCTTGATGTACCATTGGTTTAGTATCTGTAGCGGTTCCCTACAAATAAAATATAGGCTTTTTAATGAACTATAAATACATACATATAATCATAAACTGTTTCACAAAAAAGCATGAAAATACAGAGCACAATAGTATGTAAAATAAAAGAACTGGGTGACTTACTATGTCCATTTGCGGATCATTTTTAGCACACAAGTAAAATATTTCGCTGCCATTGGTCATGGCTTTGTCTAGTTTTGGAAGTGACAACCGATAGACTGCAGATTCGTTGGTCGCTGAACCTTCTATAGGTTTGTACAATAATGTTGCCGGTATTTGACATTTTCCACCGAACGTGTTGGATATGGTAGTAAATGTTATAACCGTATCTGGTGTAATACCTTTGCCGAAAATTCGCATTGTGAAATCGGCGTCTTTAAGAACACTTGGCACGCCTCCGTCGTGATAATCGATTTCATTGTTGCTAGACTCTACACGAAATCCAATAACTTTAAGATCATCAATGGTGGTATCACGTGCAATTCGATGTCTGTAAAGAAAATAAAATACATATTTATGATTATTATAATTATAAACGTAAGTATTTGTAACCTACAAGTATTAAAAAAGCAACTATACATTTGATTGGTTTCTATAAAACATTGTGTCAATTGATACTTACACTGAGAGAAAAATCAACCAAAAATTGGTTAATATTACCAAAATTAAACTTGAAAAGGAATCAACGTGATTTTTTGTTAATATTACCAATGCAACAATTGCATTGCAGGCAATTAACAATATCAACAATGATTTAGTAATACCAAGCATAATTTTGTTTACTATAACCAAACTTTCGGTTGCCGATTTATCGTTTGAATACGTTTATGTTCTGCACTTCGCAGATGCTTTTTCATAATTCGGAGAAACAAAGCAAACATTTTTGTTATCATTTTAACATGTTACCTCTGGCAAGCATCTCTACACACTCAGCTACAGCCGCTTTATAAATGTGCCTTCAAATGTTCAACTTGAATCAATTTTCTTCGTCATTCGATTTGGTTCTGCACTTCACAGAGGCTTTTTCTTAATTAAGAAAAACCAAAAACAGATTAAAAATTATGAATCGCGCCGGCGGCATTTGTACTGCTGGAATCCAACAAATAACAGCACGCACCTCTGCTCGTTCAGCCACGGCCATACATACGAATTTATTCTCAAATATTCAACTTGAATCACATCTCTTACAATCGGTTTATTGACCATGAAAAAATCAAACTATAAATTGGTTGAAAAAACCATTGTGCTTATGGCTCGCTTCTTGAATTTACCCTAGGCGACAAATTAAAGTGTACTCCTAGTTCTAATATAATTTCATGAAAAATTGTTTGCATTAATTACACAGGGCAACACCGATTGTGGTGCGGCAAATGTTAAAGCTTTTTCTTTTGATATACTTTTTTGTGCTGATTACTAATCCGTAAGTATAAAATTTCCACCAGGTCCAGATTTTGAGAAAAACGAAAGTGTCAAAAAATCTCGTTTTTGCAATATTTGAGAAGCTCTGCCAAAGAAAGAAATGTGATAGAAACTTCCGCTTAGGCTTAAGGTAAGTGTACACGGTAGAGAAAAAACGCGAGATTTAGACAAAAATCTCGCTAGAGACGTGTAAACACTCAATAGAGCTCTACGAGAAACTCACCCACAAAGCCTATGTGAGAGTTATTTAGCGAGACTTTTTCGCCGTGTACATAGTCCATTAAACTAAAGCTAGAACTCTCCTACTGTCCGTGCAAATACCAACCCTGCTCCTTGACTTAGTCATTTATTGAACAATAAAAAAATATTGGAGAATTATGCTAAATATTTCAAAATTTTATCCTTGAATATCTTTGGAAATTTCTAATATATATGGTTTTATGAGAATCTTTTAGATTTTTTAGTTTTTAAGTACAAAATATAAGAGCATTTTCTAGGGCACAGCTTTTTAAACGGGGCTCCGCGGAACCTAAGGATTCCATAGAAAAGACACCGTGAAATGAATTTTGGTCTGTATAAGCACAACTGTCGGTAGTCGGTTTGAGTTGACCACAAAAAGAAAAGTTCTATAAACAGCATGGCCGACACGCAATTACCCTGTAGGGAAAGCTACTAGTTGTGAACTAGAATTCTACCAGTTTGTGTTTCAGCCTAACTAGTTCACGTTCTATCCTTTTTCAATGTTAGCGACTGGTATGTTTAACATTGCGATGTCCTACGACAGGCCTTCTCAAAGTGGGAGAGGTGGCACCCTGAGGTGCCGCGAGCATATGCCTGGGGTGCCACTAGTGGCTAGAGTATACTTGTGGTGCGTATAAATTCATTAGACTTTCAATACACAACGAAAGCGGTTTGATCAAACTTCAACATGGCGGCCAGAAAATCAAAAAATTTAGATTTTTATTAAAATTACCTTCAGCGGCTCGTCAAACCCCATACACAACACAAATAGCTTGCAGCAAAAGGATATTTCGCTCCAGTACGTATTGTCAACGTAAAATTTAATCAGAAAAATAGCCGAAAACGTACCCTTTTCACAACCACTTTCGGTACTTTTGTAGACCTAATCCGCGTTTCATCCACTTTTCTTCCCGTTTTTGGATTACATTTCGGATTTTTCGCTGGCTGGGCTGTTCTCGTAACAAGCGCAGCAGCTTCGTGCACGTGTATATATTACTTATTCTTTGGAACTTCACAATCACACTATCAAAGAGCGAATCAACACGATTTTAGAGGCAATCTTCTCGTGTTAGTGAGGTACTCATTCGCAATGCAAATCGAAGAAGAACTTTTGATGAGCGAAATACTTAAGGCTTACACCACTAGCGACGAAACTTTTAAAGCTATCGACAAATTTGTACAGAAAAATGGTTTGAAATGGGGCAAGTGTGCGGATATTTGCAGTGGTTGGAAAAACGAAAGGAGCGATTTCTAGGATAAAGTCAGAGGCAGAAAACGTCACGAGAAGGTACTGTATGATCCGTCGGTATTCCCTGGCGACTAGGAAGATGCCGCCACTAGATTTAAAACCCGTATTGGATGACGCTGCGAAGATAGCAGAGGCCTGCGAAATTAAAATACATCTCTGGTTTTTTCTAGCATGTCGAGATTTTTTTTATTGGTACATGTATATTTTAGTATTTCTAGCGATTTGCATGAAAACCCCATAAATAATCAAAGTAATCAAAAAAACGTATGTAACCTCGAAGTTAACGCTAAGAAAATTGATAACAGCCGGTTTCACCAGCAATTTCCATATCGATGGCTGAGTGGAAGATCGACCCATCTCGGCAGCCAGTTCGAAAACGCTCTATCTCAAAAAACTTTTCAAGAACGCCCTATTTCAGAATTTAATTGAAAAACACCCTATCTCAAAATTCGGTTCAAAAACGCCCTATCTCACTTCAAAATGTATTGAAAATATGCTGATATACGGCGTTTTTGAATCGACAGCTGAGATAGGGCGTTTTTGAAACGAATTCTGAAATAGGGCGTTCTCGAAAAGTTTTTTGAGATAGAATGTTTTCGAACTGGCTGCCGAGATAGGTCGATCTTCCACTCAGCCATCGATATGAAATTCAAAAAATTAAAATCATTTATCACTTAAATTGCTTTCGTTAAATTGGCTGTAAAAATTATTATCTTAGCGTCAACGCGCATTACCAGCGTTAACTTGGAAGGTTTAGAAAAAACCATTGTCGAATATTTTCCCCACATTTACTCTGAGGATGGCTTCAGCTGGATAACAAACCCGTTTTCATGTGGCCCGAAAAGTAAACCTACTGAGATGACCAATTAAGCTTTTGAAAACCTTCTGGACATCAGTGAAGACAGCACTTTGATTATTAAATACTACGAAGGGAGCCAAGAGAGGTCTGGATGGAAGTGTATGCAGAAAACACTACTCTTGCCAAGATTACATTAAAAATACTAGTGATTTTTAGGCCCTTATTATGAGTTGCATTCGATTTTCGATCTTCGCTGCTTATCGAAGATCGAACATCGAAAGTGAAATTATGAGCTATGCAACCGTGTCGAAATTTTCGTTGAGTATCGAATTTTCTGTCGAACAGAATTTTTCTTTGAAAAATGTATGATTTTGCATTTGTTTTTTACTTTATGATGGCTAGACACTAATTTTAAACAATTTTTATTAATCTCATGCAGTTCTGACGTCGTGAATATTAAACACAAGCTCGAAAGGCTGGTTTTACTTGTGAAAGAAAATCCCAATACTCAGTTGGCACGATCTCTGAGAACAGAATCGTAAGCTGTTGATAGTTTTAAAATATTTTAAATAAATTTGGCTCACAATCGCCTCTTTAGACACTCGGAAGTTTTTAATAAATCTGTAGACAAATTTCTTAAATATATTTTATGTCAAAATGTATTTGAAAGACTACACTTAAACTCTCCATTTTCCACTCCTGGCCAGTTTACCAAGCTCTCATACTCTGACGAATCGTTGAACCAGAACTCCGTTTTTATAAACTCGCTCTCTTCTTTATTTCATTTTAATTTGCGCAAATTTACATACATTTGTATAAGCACACTATTTAGTTTGCTCGATTTGTAAACAAAACTTTTCAGCGGTGAAAAATATACTATTGTAAACAACCTAAACGAGCGAAATTCACAATGAGCGTCATAGTACCAAATGAAAATTCGTTCGATCAGCACTTTCGACCACAGTCGAATGCAAGTTATAATAGGGGCCTTACTTTTACATTTCTATGTGAGACTGCATTTCCAACAAATGCTTACATAAACAAGTAAGTTTTAAGCAAAAAAAAAGCAAAAAAAGATATTTCAATTCCCATCTAAGAATTTAAGATTATCGTTAATCTATTCTACCAAATTAGACCACCTGTCAGGTAACACCTTTCCTTTAAAAAAGAATTATAGTAATCGGTTAACGTGGTCCAAAGTTACTCGGTAACATACATAGAAAAAAAAAATAAAAAAAATATTCCGATGAATTGATAACCTTATCGTTTTTGTGAAGTTGGTTAAAAAGAAATACAAAAGCAAGCTTTCAGCGGCAAATGATTTCAGGGTAAAATTGTCAAAGCTCCCAATAAACTTAAAGGAAATAATCAAAACAGTTTCAGTCCTCACATTAAAGCTAAAGGAGCATAAAGTTTGCATTGTGTTTTCTTGTTTTCCTAGACATTTGAAGAGTAGAGGTGCCGCGAAATTTTTTTAGCACAACAAGGGTGCCGAGGTGAAAAAAGTTTGGGAACCCCTGTCCTACGAGATGTCAATTGTCAGGCTGTGCATCATCTACTAGTAGCATCATACCAGTTGATGAGATAGTCTGCCAGTTCAACACCCGTGAAAAGCATAAGTATGCCCTTTCGCTCGCGGCGCTCAAACAGTCGCAATGGCCGATAGTGCAAAGCAGTTGCGTGGCATTCTTGAGGTGCCAGGTTCAAGTCCTGCCGAAGGAAAATTTTTATTTTATTTTTTTGGATCTTTATTGTAATTTTTAAATTTAATTAAACAAAAATA